CCCCCCCCCCCCCTCTGCCGGCACTCGACTGTCTGCTGTTGTTGGATGGACTGGTGAGACCCCCCTCCCCCCGCCATGTGTCGTGTCCCCGCCCTTTGGTCGAAAGCTCACACGTCCCCCTCCCGAGACCAGTGTTTGGGCAGATGGGCGGGTCCGCCCCGGGGCGTTCGAGATAGTTCCCCAACCTGACGCCTCGTCGCCAGCACCGAACCCAAATCCGGATTCCTAATCTGCTGCCCTCCTGATTTCTGCGACTCCCGTGCCCTCCACCATTCTCCCCCCCCCCGACACTCCCCTCTACCTCCTCTTCTCGTTCTCTCTCTCTCCCCCCCCCCACCCCCCACCCCCGGGCACCGCGTCCCCTCCTTCTCCATGGCCGCCGCACCCATGTTCGGCGTCCTTGCCGCCGGTCGCCTGGTCCGCACTGATGCCCAAATCATCTCCCCCACGCATTGTGTCTTCTCAGTCTCCAGCGCCCCTCGACTGCCAGACCATGTGGCGGTCTTTCTGACTGGGAATGCTCCCCTGCCCGAGGGCTTCGGCGCCGGAGTGCACATTGGCTGGCCGCGGTCGCCCGTTCCCGGAGCCGGCGCCTTTCCCCATGCCCCCGGGCCCGAGCCCGATTATGCCTGGCGCTTTCTCGGTGTCATCACCAACGACAAGCCGAGCGCCATCTTCCGCCTGCGAGCGCAAGTGTCCGCCCTGGCGTCCCTCTCCTTGCCCGGAGGCCACCCGGATTCCGGCATGGTCCTCGACGCCGATGGGGCCCCCTCGGGGATTGGCGTCGGTTCGTCGGTATTCTCCTCCTCCCACTCGCCGAACAATGCCGGCGGCCCGGCCGCCGATGTCCCCATGTTGATTGGCCTGTCTATCGAGCCACTCGGGGCCCTGGAGGCGCAGGTGTGCGCGCTGCCCCGGCCGGGCGCCGGGGCAGCCCCTGCCCAGCCGCACAATGCCCTTGTGCTGGCCTCCGCCGCCTCCGCCGGCGCATCTCCCACCGCCGCCGGGGGGCTTCCTCCTCACCAGCAGGTAGCCTCTTCGGCCGCCATCGCTCAGAATCTAGCCGACCATCTGGTCAACTATGTGACCTCCTTCGTCGGGTCGGGCCCTGGGGTTGATCCCCAAGCGGCGGCCATGGGGGCCGCCGCCACGCGGCTCATCCAAGACTGGCGTGGCTCAGTCGATCGGCGCCTCCGCACGGATCCGGAATATTTCTCCCGCCTGCACGAGTAGTGTGGCCCCTGCCCCCGGGGGCCCTGCCTCCCTGTGTGTGCCTCCCGGTCCCCTTGTCTTCACATCATCCGCCCTCGCGTAGGGCGTGTCTCCAGTCCTTCATTTGTGTCGATCTTTCCATCGCCCCTTGTCCTTGAATCAATATATATATATATATAGGCATATATGCCGTCTACTCTCTGTTTGCTTTTTCTTCTCCAATCTTCCTCGACCGGCGACGGGGCAAGTGACGCCGGAACAATGTGGAGTGGCTGTGCTCGTGACCAGATCACGCACCCCGGGCGTGACCAGGGTGCAGCCTGGAAACGACACACCGCCCGCGCAGCGCGACTTCCCCCACCCTGCCTGCCTGCCCGCTCCCTTGAAGCGCGTCCCGTTGGATGTGCCCGAGGGAGACACCTTTTTGCGACGGCCGCCGAAAAGCCTGGAACATGTAGGGTTACCAGGTGTTGGTTGGCACACCGGCGACGGTGGCGGGGGGCGTCAACGATATTAGCATAGAGTGGGCCTCAGCGAAGCCAAGACAGCCCCCTGCATTATGTAATAGG